CAGCTCCCAAATAAAGTGTGCATCCCGCTGATCAAGTCGAAGAATATGGTGGATAGTATGGAGTACAGTGCACACGTCAATGCTGGACCGTCCGAAGCTCTAAACATACCTGGCCACGAGTCTCGCGAGTATCGACTAGCGAAACGAGCGGCGAGACTGGAACAACGTGTACGGTGGGTTCGACGTACAGAAAAGGTCATCCCGTCCGTGACTAGGTTTCGCCGTGGCCGGCCAGTGCGTGTCAGACTGACGAACGTCTCGGAACGGACAGCGTACGTTCCAGCGTTCGATAGACTGGTCATGCTGGTTCCGGTCGGAGATCTGCCGCGAGGCGAGGGCTACGTGCGCTTGGACTCCAAGAAGTACAAAGACTGGCAAGTGCTTGCCTACGAGATCTGTCGCGACCGACAGTTGTTCAGACGAGAGTGTGAACTCTACGAATAATGGCTGGCGACCCTACCTCCATCGGTTGAGCGACGAGCCTATCCGACACCCGTCGGAGTTATGAAGAGGTCGCCTGAAGACGCGTTGGACGTATCGACGGATCGTCTGACATGTGCCGAGCGTTGGGAGAAGATTTTGGAGCAACGAGAGTGCGAACTCTACAAACAATGGCTGGTGACCCAACCTCCATCGGTTGAGCGACGAGCGTATCCGACATCCGTCGGAGTTATGAAGAGGCCGCCTGAAGACGCGTTGGACGTATCGACAGATCGTCTGACATGTGCCGAGCGTTGGGAGAAAATTTTGGAGCAACAAGAGTGCGATGAAGGTCGTCTGGACTCATGAGTGACAGACGAAGGCGTGTTCGAGGTCCGACTCTCCGGAGACTCGTCGGATGGCGGTTCAGCAAGCAATGGTGACGGTAGCGATGCCGACGAGGGGTCGGTTAGACGCCCACAGGAACGACAAGGTTTAACGGAGGTGATGAACACAGCAACGTGGGTTCAGCTGGTGTCTGATGTTGGAGATGACGCATCAAGTACAATGACGAGGGAAACCACGATTGTATCGGATGGCAACCGTCCAAGCGGCGACTCATCAGCCTCTTA